ACCCCATACCATTCCCCCCGCCCCCAGCATCTAACACCTGGTAGTTGTGGTTTTTTGCCAGCTACAATTTAAAGACTTATGCTCACTCAGGGCACATGTATAGAGCCATGCAATTGCCTAGCCCGAGTGCAGCCTATTGTACATGCCTAGTACACACATGGACACACTTACTTCCTTGTGCAGTGTGTCCATGTAGGATCATGATCTGTGTATAAGTGCCAAACATGGCAGTAACGCAGCTGGGTAAGTGCCATTTGGATGCATACAATGAAATGGGATTCTTCCCAGAGTGTCTGAGCCTCATTTGACCCACTGCCACTTTAATTTTCATTTGGGCCATTAACTGAGTTAGGACATAAAATATTGACACTAAAGGGAAAAAAATCACCTTTCAATCTAAGTGTAAATGATCCTGAAACAAAATACGCAGAATAAATGAATGAATTCTTAGCCAGGTTCAATTAATAATTTATTTCTGTTCCTCATGACATTATCAGTGTAATTAAATCTGTAGCTGAAGAAATAAAACAAAGTATCGTCTGTTAAAACACTGAATCTCTGTAAAAAGCGGTTGGCAAAATACTGTTGTTTGTTATTAAGGACTATCCTACTGACATATAGGTTCACATTCTATCTTTCGTTAACAAGCTGATGACTTGCAAGTAATAAGGCAGTAAAACCCTATTGTTACTTTAAGTTATTTGCAACAAAGGCACAGAAAAAAGATTTAAACCAGCTCCCAAAAGAAACTTGCAGAAGGTCTGGCTATTTGGGGCTATTGGTTACAAATATAGTGAATAATCATACTAGATTATTAACTTGGAGTGCAAGGTCGTATAGGATGCACTGAATAGTTCCATATTGATATGAATACTGAAGTAGGAACAGTGTCATGTGGGGCATTAATAACAGGCATTAAAGTGCTACTGAGAGGCATTGATCCAGGTCTGCCAGCAGTAATCAGAAAATGTCACGTGCCTCAGGCAGCAAAGCTGTTTTTAAAAAGGATGTGGAAAATCATCTTTAAAAAAGGAGGTGTGTGTATATATAAAACAATAAATAAAGCAAACAGTTATGGACAGAGCATGCTTATTCTATCAGCCCCCATGGACAAAGCTTCTGCTATTTGGGCCTTGTAGAGGCCTACATGGGATGCTTACATTTCATGGTACTTCCAGTGTAGGACTAAAAGTGTCCCTTTAAAAATGTGTGAGTCTTGCAGTGGTGCTCACTGTGTTCTGTGTTTGTGAGAACAAAAATCTGCCAAAATGGCCAAAAATCAAAGCTGCAATATGTACAGAACTAGGCCTAGCGTGTTTGTGTAACTTCAGTAGCCACAGTTACTTGGAAGCCAACTGTACCTCCATGGTTTCTTCACATTATTTTTCTTGTGTAAAGAGCAAGAGACAACATTTATTGACAAGATTGTGATCCTAATGTAGGAATATAGTGAAATAGACAAGAACTGCAGAGACCGAGTGAAACTAAAAGGAAACTGCAGCTGACAGCGACAGGTGCTGCAAATAAATGGCTTCTTTAGGAAAATAAATCACACATGCATTACAGTTGATACTATCATCCCTAAATGTATATCCTAAGGGAAATTAAAGGCTGAGAAGTAGCTGCCATCTTCTCTTGGGATACCATCTCCTAGGGACCAAAAATATTCCTGGAATGGTATACTTCTTGGTTGCTTCTACAAGATGGAACACAATGAGCCTTAGTAGTGAGTTCACAAATTATTTAAAGGTATGCTGCTCTATTCTTTATACACAATAATGCTTGAGTGGTTATGCTGTGGGATAGAAGCTGACATGGATCATGAAGCCTAAAAGTGCTTACAGATATGAGTGGGGGGCTGGGGGAAATAGTGCTTTACTTTCAGAACATGCCCAGAATAGAAATGGTGTCCAGTGTCTGTGTATCTCATGCACTTCAGTACGGTTTTTTGGTACTTTATTAAATCGCCTATTGGATACAAGCACCAAAAATCCCCGCTGAAGTGCACAAGCTATATAGGCACTTGGGTGTTGAGTCAAACTGATGTGATTCCTCTTCTGGTAAAGCACTGGCTTTGTTTGTTTGTTTGTTTTGTGTCCCCCTCCCCCATTCCCGGGTCCTCTCCCCCAACTGTTAGCACTCCAAATTATATTCGGCGTTGCAGAACAACTGGTTGTTATGTAGGTAACTAGACCTTTGAAAATTCAGTGTAAACTTTTCCACCAATTTTCAGTGGATGTCACATCAAAGTCATCAGTGGAAAGACGCTCCCGCTTCAAATGGGCTTTGAGGCAGTCCCTAAGTGATCGGTTTTGAGGAAGTGTCAATAGTATTTACACTCGGGTCTCTCTTTATGCAAATTCATTTTGTGCAAATTTGCTTATATGCGACGACCTTATTTATACCAGAAACTTGCTTTGTGCAAGAAATCCGATCTTATGTGAAGTTGGCTGGCAAATAGCTCCCTGCAGACTGGCAGAGTTCCAGCCTGCAGGGAGCTGGGAGGAAGCGGAAGGAAGGCAGTGAGATGCGGGATGCCACATGCATGTACAGTATGTGCACATGGCCCCAATTAGTCTTGATGGCAGCTCCAGCAGGTAAGTTAGTGGGGGAGAAGGGGATTGAGGCCCTCGTAGGGAGGGAGCTGGGCAGGGCTGGGGCTGCTGTCCAGCCAGGGCGTGCTTGGGGCCCAGGGCCGCAGTGTGCAGCTGCAGGGCCCCAGTGGGGAGCAGAATGGAGCCTCCAGTGGCTCATCAGGGGACAGGGAGGGCCAGCTCCCCAGTAATGTGCACACTTCCAAGGGGAAGGGGCGGACACACAGGTGCAGTGGGCCCTGGCTCTGATCCTGGGCCCAGTTCGGCTACTGTCCCTGCCTGGTCCCAGCATCCTACACCCCGCTGCCCTGGCCACACGCCTCCTGTGGCGCAGGATTGCACCCCTTAAAGAGAAGCAGGCACAGGAGACTCATCCCCAGGGCAGCGCAGGACAAGCAGCCACCATTCCCTGCTTCCCTGCCCTGGGTGCCTTTCCAGCCTAGCAGGCATGACCCAGCGTGGCTGGGAACAGTGGGGCTCTGCAGAGAGGCTACGAGCTCCCTGCAGCACTGGGTCATGCCCACCAGACTATGGAGGCACCCGGGGCACGGAAGCAGCAGACAGCGGGACCATGTGGAGAAGGTGCTCGCCCCACGCTACCTTGGCGACCGTGCCCGCTACTCGTGCTGCTGCTTGCAGCACGGAGCTCACAGCCTCTCCGTGCAGCAGTTATTGTACTGTGTCATTTACTGTTTGAATTTGTCAGGGTTTGAGGGGGACAGTAGAGTGAGGCTGGTACATATCCCTATTAATTACATGTAATAATGGATTCACTTTATGTGAATTCGCTTTATGCAAGGGTTTTTCTGGACTGCAGCCATCGCATAAAGAGAGACCCAAGTGTATATTGTAATAACGGCTTCTGCACTGAGCTACTGGTCCATAAGAACTACTGACCCTGTTTAGTCGTATGCATTATTTTCTAGGGTGTGGAATGTTTAATGATTTTGTTGTATTGCCTTAATTGTAACATAATAACAATAATGATCTGCAGATAAAAGCGTTAGTTGCCAAGCATAGTGCAGTTCTGCATCCTATAATGATACAGCTGCTTCAGCCTCTGACACTACCAGAGCTATTAGAACAATTTAGTAAATGTAAACCTCGGGTTTGGGGTTGATAGATAAGATAGATTGAATTAATGCACAAATAACACACAATGAGGTGAAAAGCAAAAGTGGTTCTTAATTAGTTCAAGACAATCTAAAATATTTTGGCTCTGATATTGTTATTTGGGGGTAGGTACCATAAATAGCAACTCAGATGACCTGAAACTAATCTAATGTGGAAGAATGAATATAGGGCTGGGAGCCTGGAGGTTCTACATTTTAATGGCATCTAGCCACAGACTCACTCTGTGGTCTTGGTGAAGTCATTCTACATTTCTGTCTCAATATCCCTAGATATAAAATGGCAATCAAGTATATCCCCACATCTTGCAGGGGCATAGTGAAGATTAAGTTAACTAATGACTCTATGGAGACTTATTTTGATTTTACTTTAAGTTTAATTATGGTTACTAGTTTCAGATGTATATGCATCAAGACTTGGGAGTTGACTAACCTCAGATGTGCCTCTTAAATACCTTCCCTATATGAATAAAAGTAACAAAACTTGAGACCTACTGCCATAAACATGTGTTTAGAGATGCGCTCTGTATAAAATAGCACCAACTGTTCTAAATAATATTTGTGGGGAGGTGAGGAGTTCAGACTCATTGGGGAATGTTAGCTTGTTTCAGTGATGTGTGGCAGAAGGGAGATGCATTATCTCCTCGCAACATCAGGTTAGGGTGACCACCTATCCTTAAGCAGCAAGACAGTCCTGGAATGGGGTCATCAAGTCTCGGTCCTGGGCTGCATGACTCTGGGACAGCATTTGTGCCAGATTTGCAGCATCATGCAGGGATCCATGTTTCCCCTTGCAAGCTGGCAGCGTTTCAGCCTGCAAGAGGCTGCTTGAGGCTGCTGCGAACAGGACGCAGGGGTTGCCACAGGGGGTCAGTAGCTCTCACACATGCATATGGCTGGGAAAGAGTAGGGCAATGTGGAGAGCAGCTCCCTGCAGGTAAGCCTATGGAGGGTGTAGGGGGAATGGGGGGCAGATCAACGCCCCCACAATGAAAGAGGGTGTGGGGCTAGAGCTGGAGGTGCTGCCTAGCGAGGGCAGTGTGTAGGACCCTGAGGCTGGGGCATGCAGCAGGCAGAGGGCTGTCAGGGGAAGGACAGCAGGGCGAGGAGCCTGCATCCACCATGGCCTCGCTTGGCTCTGCTCTGCTCTGCTCCAGCTATGCTGCTGGCAGGGGTGGTGGGGAGATGGGCATGCGTCCTGCCTTTACATTTTAAAAAGGTGGTCACCCTTCATCAGTGACACATTAGCACTTTCCCAGGATTTTTCACCAGTAACCTCACTGCCATATTAAGAGCTGAGGGTGGTATCAAAAACCAGATGTGTTCAGTGGATCCTTGCTCTATGCCTGCATTTATGAGGATATAAGGATTTGGCTTGTGCATTACATTAAAATTTTGCCTTAGAATTTTATATTTTTAGCTTTACTCATGCAAAAATCCCACTGGAATTGATCAACTCTTCCAGAGTAAAGAGGTTATGATTGGACCTCTATAATGTTCTCTTCTTTAAAGGGTTGTAAAATGTTTGTCTGTTTGCCACATTCTACTAAACTATGTCTTAATGTGCAGATGTCTTTGTGTAGATGGGCATGAATGATGGCAGGGGGAAAATGACAAATTCATGAATGAGATTTAACAGTGCACATGAACTCCATTGCTTTGCTACTCAACCGTTCAGATGGATGAGAGATTTTTTCACATGAAGTTTGTGGGGAAACTTTCTGTGCAGTAAATAGAAACCTAGGAGAATTACGCTGGAAGGACCTCAGAAGATTAAACAGTCCAAGTCCCTGCTCATGGCAGGATCATGCCTGCCTAACCCATCCCAGACAAATGTTTGTATAATCTGCACTTGAAAAGTTTCAGTGATGGAGATCCCACATCTTCTCTAGCTATGGATACTCACGCAAGAACATGCATCTGGACTGGAAAGTGGGGCAGCAGGAAACTACAAAGTGACTTTAGGGACTAATTACAAGTTCAAATAATGAATAGCAAGTATTGACTCTGATGACAATTACAAGCTCACAAATCAAGGTGCTGAAATTTTGTTCATGTGGATAATGAGCAATTGTAAAACTCTGCTTACAAAAAATCACCACAGGAAGAGAGGCCAATATTTTCAAATTGTTCAGTGATTATACCTGGGGAGCATGGTTTGTGGGAGAGAGCAATGTATGGAATTCAAAATAATTTTTCTTAAATGCAAAAAATTTATCAAACACATAAAACACTGCATTTTATTAAAATGAAACAAAGTTTTAAGTGCACTATGATCTCTAACACAATTATATTTACAGTTTAAGTTTTTCTGTCAATTTTTACTTGTCTCTAGACAACCTTTACATTAATCAATAATTTCATATGTTTGGATATATATTTTTACATACTTTAAAATAATCGTACATTTGAGACATAGATTCATTTGCCTGATATTCCATTCTTTGTGATTTTGCTGCTGACTAAGCATTTTGGGCACAATAGTCTGTTAAAAATAATGATAATAGGATGTTTAATAATCATTACTGCTATCATCCAACAAATCTGGCTCATACTGGATAATATCTGACAAAACTATTGTAATCTACTCATATTTTCAAAATGAAATGCTCAAAATTTCCCAGTTGCTAACTTTATATTTAATATGTCTCTGAAATACACACACATGTTCATTTGGTTTGTTGTGAAGCATGTGCTGTTTGAAAATTTTAAAATGTCATTCTTTGTTTAGCGCTTGCAGATGCAAATGACTGCTCATATATCATTCTCAATTTTCCTTTGCATAATCTCCTTTCCACCTCTCTTTCTGACCTTGTAAAGTGTCTTTTATGACTACTTGGCAAAACTCTGTGTATTCATTCTTTCAGTTCATTTCCCAAAACTGCAGACAAGCAACATCTGTGTGGTTTAAAAAAAAATTGTTAAATGACTTGCTGGATTATCTTTTACTTTTTATTAATGAAAAATGCATTAATATGCCATCATCTAATATATCCATTAATTATTTCATTCCCCCCATTTTTAAAAAGGAATATCTAAATGCAGTTGCCAATCTCAAGCTGTTACTTAATGGCCATAAAGCAAAACGCTTGATTTATTTTCTATGTTAAAACTTTGTGAAACAAAAAATGTATTATGATGGATGGCTTATTTGTACCAGCCTTAATTTCATTTAAATTAAATGTAGCTAAAAGGTTGCATACACTGTAAAGCCATTATAGTATCTGAGCTGGCTTACCATTTTAGATTGAAGCAGCTGAAAGGAGGCTGGTTCTATACAGTACAGAGCAGCACCATGCTGAGATGTCTCACTTTCTCTGCACACACCAGGTCCCAAGCGGGAAGCAGTATAGCTGTGCTCGTGCAGCCTCCTGTAAGTAGAGGAAGTAGATAATCCCCCCTCCCCCCCTGCAAGAATTTATGCTCCATTGGCTTTCAATTTTATACCAGGGCTCCAAAGTTGCTTTGGAGAATGGGACTACAGAAAATCTTACTGACTGAATCTAGCTGGGGGATTTGGCCTCACCTGGGTCCTGGGGGTGGAGGGGGAAGGGACATTTAACAACAGTGCTATATTTTTGTGCAGTTAGCAGCATCCTATTTAGAAGAGGCTTTATTACTAGCAGTCATGTTGCAAGCTAGGCTTGAGACATCTGGTTAGGTCTGTACCAAAGTAAAGTGTGCAGAACTTGACCATGCTATAGGCTATATGCTGCCGGTAATACACAACAGGGATGAGTATTCAGAGCAGTACTTGGCGTCACCCAGTGTGTGGTTCCAGGTGGTCCCAGCATTTGGATGCTTTTGTGAGCGCTAAACCTTGGAACAGACAGACCCTTTTAAAGATTTTTTTCCCGTGAATATGAATAACAAGAAGCACAGGGAGATGCCATATTGTGAGCAATAACTGAGACTTCAAGGCTGTTCTGTCACTTTGAAATATCACATACACTTTATTTTAATATGTCCCTGCAGATATAGGAAAACACTCGCACACACAAACAGCAGTTTGGGGAGAATACATTACAGGAATGTTAAAATCTGCCTGAGCTGCTAGCTACTGATGCAATTAAGCCTGTGATATTTGGTAGCTAAAGAAAATACAGGCATGACGGTAAAAAATCATGCTAATAGCTCTGTTCTGAAAGGGTATAACATCAATAATACTTGCTTTGCACATTAAGTTTTAATGTGTAGACAGGCTCTCTGTGCATAGCAGGGGGTCTGTGGAATCATCAGCAAAAGCTAATAAATGCCTGTCATATGAAGAATACATTAGTGAAAGAGCAAAGCTAGGTGAATCATTTAGTTCTCCTGTTACCATTAGTCATTCTCCATTAATGTTTTTATCTGTGATATTAGCCACTAAATATTACAAAGATTATAAAGGTTATGTCCATGATTTGCACTGCCTCTATGCAAAGATTTCTTTCTAACTGATGGGCATGGAGAGACTTGATCCTATTCAAAGCACTATGCTATAATTGTGATCTCTTCAATATGTTGCCCCACCTCCCCTTAAACAGTAGAAATCCAGATGGTAAGAGAACTAATTCCATCCTATGGCTTTGGAATTAGTCAGGAAACTGTCACTTACATTAATGGGAACTGAACAGTAGTCACTGTGCTGAAAATATGCCTGTAAGTGTGCTTGATAGTAAGTAGTAAAAATAGCTTATTTAGAAAGGTTTCGAGTGTAATGCACAGAAATAATAGATCTCTTTAAGACTTTAGTTTCCATTCTTGAGATCACCTGGCACTTGGATCTTTGAAGCTCCCACATGCTGAAAAGAATTGGGAATGGACAGGACTTGGATGGAAGAACTCCAGAAAGAGTGCTCGAATGATTCCATAGAATATGTTCTTCCTAATAAGTCACTGATGAACTGCATGTTTTGATGTTTGGCTTCCTGTCTAGATGGGATGCAAGAATGTGTCCCTGATTGTCTGGGTTCATTAAATAGTCCTTAGCATCTTTTACCAGAATAAAAGTATTTAACTCCATTTGTCCTGGTTAATTTTTAGCCTGGACGATATACCAGTGCATCTGCCTACTTGAATTCTTTCTTCCAGTTCAGTTTGTTGTTCTTCCCTCACTTCCTGTTCTAAATTGTTACGTCATTCAGCATAATGTTAAAAGATGGCTGTGATCACCATTAGAGTGAAATCAGCTTTGCAAAGAAAGCCATATGTATATGTACAGTAATCTGTACATATCTGGTATCATTAAACAAACCAGATATGTACAGAAACACTCTGGTATCATTAAAGATAATTGATAGCTCTAAACAACAAGATAAAACTATGTGGGGAAAACTCCTTTCAGGTTGAAATGTATATAGTGTTTCAGTAACAAACAACACTTCTGGCTAAGCTGACCGTATGGAAATCCAGAACATCATCCAGGAAATACGGGATGCTGCAACCCCCACTCGCCTGCCCTGTGCATGCTCACAAGTTGGCAGAGCTGTGCGCCACCTGCAAGGTGCTCAGTGCTGCTCTAACTTCCAGCCAAACTGCCCCACACCCCGTGTTTCCAGGATACCCATTATAATTCTCAATGGCAGGCCAGGACGAGCCTGAAATTTGGGACAATGTTGGCTAAACTGGGGCATACGATCATCCTATTTTTATCAGAAACTTTGAAAAACAAAGTTGTAAGATTTACTTGTACAGATATATTCATTCTCTCTCTCTGTCTCATCTATATAAATTAACATTACAACTTTATATAGTGAAAATATATTGTGATTTTTTTTTTTTTTTGGTTTGTATGGAAATGGGGGGATATTAAACTGTGCATCTTAGAGGGCACAACATTTTTACTTTCATGCTCAGTCTATTTGATATGATGTAAAGGTTTGTCAGCATGAGTTTGAGATTGCTATGTCACTTGCAACATCCATCTGTAGCATTCTACCACTGAAGCCCAGTTTCTTCCAACTCCAGAGGCTTCTGAGAAGAGGGGGGAGAGAAAAATTGTAGCTAATGCATTTTTAAAAACATTTTCAAATAACCTAAAATAATTTTTCTATGTCACATAACTGAGAATTTAATATCTTTGATATCTGAGGACCTAAGGCTAGAAATGAAAGGTGTGATTCTCATTGAGAAACCTCCTTTTTCCAGTCAGCCAGATCTTCAGTTACTGGTCTAAAATGAGTCATGTGATACTAGCCTTTGAATTTGTAATTGGCCTAGAACTAAATTTTGCCTGCATTTCATTTTGAACTAGGT